ACAAGACAAATATTGGTCAACTTGAAGAGCAACGAACAATTCTCTCGTCTCATCGTTTGGTTATTATATTTTCTCCTATTAAGAAAAAGTAATAGGGATTGAATATGGTCTTTGTAATAAAAAGTTTAATATGCCATCCAAAACTATAATAAATCAATAGGGCAACTGACCTTTTCAAAAGACGATAGACCGACATACATATATCATTAAATTCAATTTTAGGCTTAAAAGTTATGAAATCTAATATAATATAAACTATAAAGTGATATATTTTCAAATTTTAAAAAATTTGTTTTTGAGTTTGTAATTTATTGATTAAGTAAGGCTTTGTTATGTCACAACTAGTTTTTTTTTTTTTTTTTTTTTGAATTTATAAGTTTTTTTAAAAAACTATTTAAATTAGTTTTTAGTAGCTTTTTAAAAATTTTCTAAATATACTTTTTAATTAATTATATAAACGAATTCTTTTAAGAGAAATTTACAAAAATAACCATTTACACTAATGACATTACAAAAATACCCAAAAAAAATCGAAATTACAAAAATAGCCTACGATTTCGCAGATGAGAAGGCCCCATCTGTGAAATTACCTTCTCATCTGCGAAAGTACCTGATTTCGTAGTCAAACCAAACCATTTTATAGTCAACCTAAAAAAAAAACAACAACGATTTCACAGATAGAGTCAGAGGATTTCGCAGATGGACCTATTCCATCTGCGAAATTACCCCTATATATACAGCAAAAAAATTAAAAAAAAAAAAATATTAAAACCACCTGTGAAAGTACAAGCACCTAAACCACAGCTGTGCTTTAGGTGCTTGTATTTTCGCAGATGAGAAGGTAATTTCACAGATGGGGCCTTCTCATCTGCGAAATCGTAAGTTATTTTTGTAATTTCGATTTTTTTGGTTATTTTTGTAATGTCATTAGTGTAAATGGCTATTTTTGTAAATTTCAAATATCATTTTATGTATGTTAGCCAACTTTTCAACTCATGTACAAAAAGTTAACGTTATTTTTTATCAGCTAATAATTAACTTTTCAGCTAACAACTAAATTTTCAACTACATATTCTAATTATACCATTTAATATATTATGTTTTTAGTCACTTTGTAATTATTTATTTAAAGATTTTTTTTCTTTTAAGAAGATTTCAGTGCAAATGATACGATTATATAGCTTCATGGGTTCGACTTGGTTTTATACATAGTTGAGGGGTTCAATCCAAAGACAGATAAAACACAAGAAAACCAGCAATAACTTTCAATTTTTTATTCAAACCACCATATGCAAGCAGGTTCAAATCATTCGAATATACCAATTGATTTGCATTTTGATCATTTTGGTCGCCTAATTCTCATGTTTCTGGTCCATCAATCGCTGTTGAAATCCAAGAACATTTCGTCTCATCGGAAATTTTGTTATATATCCCCGGATTCGGTATTTCTTCACAATTCTCAATAAAGTTTTTGAAACAAGGTGCGCGAATCCTTTCATATCTAAGAATTTTCTAGAGAAATTAAGTCTATTTGCATCCTTGTTGATTCTTTCTGTCATGAATTGATAAGCTATGTGATATTCTTGGTGGTAAGTGGATTGAAATTACACAATTTGTAAGCTTGAGTTGTTAGTATAGATACTGGAAACTAAAAAGAAATTCTTGATTAGGGTTTTTAAGCTTATGTATGGGTTTATGAATTGGGTAGGGTGATTGATTTATGGCGTCTAATCGGGTGTGATTTTTGTGCGTGTTAGCTGCAGCTGTGTCTTATGTTGAAGAGAATCTATAGTTCTAATGCAAATGGCGATATGGAAGATTTTTTTCCGGTTAGGCCAGAGTGCCAAGAACTTGTTCCGAAGACCCGCTTCAAGCCCAAGGTCTGTTCAAAATTCATCGCTTGCTTTTTATGTTAATTTTTTCGTTTGTCGTGCAATTTCTGTATCTGGTTTCTTCTACTTTTAGAGATGATTTTTAAAATCTCATTGTTACTAATCCTGTCACAACGTTTAAAGCTTGGTGATTGTTTAACTGTTTCAGGTTGGGAAAACTTTAAGTGAAAGGAGATGGAATGCTGCATTTGATAAAGAGGGTCATTTGGATATAGCTGGTGTTCTTAGGAGGATACAAAGAGGGGTAAGTTTTTCTTGTAGATTTACAATTTTCTACTTCAAAAAGAATGAAATTTTTGAAAATCTATAATAGACAATCAAATTCCCAATTTTTGATTGAACTTTCAAAATATGGATATATTCTTAGGAGGATACAAATAGGGGTAGAGACATAGTAATCTTTTTTCTTCTTTTATATCATTCCAGGGCATTCATCCATCAATTAAAGGGGTAGTATGGGAATTTTTGTTGGGGTGTTATGATCCCAACAGTACGTCTGAGGAACGTGGAGCCCTCAGGGCAAAGAGGAGGTAGTAGTCTCTTCACTTAACATGTAGAGTACATTAATTACATATGCCATTTATCTCTAATCTTTTCTATATTAAATAGTACACTGACATTTTAGTAAAAATGATAATTTTTGTTTTTAGGGAACAGTATGCTTCATGGAAAGAGGAATGCAAAAAGATGGCACCCATTGTTGGTAGTGGGAAGTTTGTGATGTCACCTATAGTCAACGATGATGGAAAACCAATAGAAGACACTGGAATGGAATTGGCAGATTCTGATGCCGATTCCGACAAGAAAGTGACTCAGTGGAAACAGAGCTTGCATCAGATAGGTTTGGATGTAGTACGCACAGATCGTTCTCTTGTTTATTATGAGAATGAAGCTAATCAAGCCAAGTTATGGGATGTTCTTGCTATATATACTTGGGTAGATGATGATATTGGTTATGTTCAAGGTGAGAATCACTATATATATTTATATACCCTGTTATCACAACATAAGCTCATGTGATTTTTCATTTTAAACAGGAATGAATGATATATGTTCCCCAATGGTTATTCTTTTGGAAGAAGAAGCAGATGCATTTTGGTGCTTTGAGCATGCGATGCGTAGAGTGGTGTGTATTATGATTTATGCCTTTATTTTATATACATATTTTTTTATGTGGAATGATTAATCTCTGGTTTTCTTTATAAAGAGGGAAAATTTCAGGTCTAATGCAACTTCTATGGGAGTGCAATCACAACTTAGCATACTTTCACAAGTTATGAGAGTTGTTGACCCAAAGCTTCATCAACACCTTGGTAAGTACTACCAAGTTTCAACTTTCATCTGCTATTTATGGTAAAAGCTTTTTTAAGTTTTAAATAAATCAACTACTTATTTATTTATTTATTTAATTTACTTGAATCAGAGGGGTTGGATGGTGGAGAATATTTGTTTGCAATTCGTATGCTAATGGTGCTTTTCAGAAGGGAATTTTCGTTTGTAGATGCGTTATATCTATGGGAGGTAAAAGAGACCTATATCAGTATTATTATTACTCATTTATTTTTTGTATGAAGTTGGAAAGATGAAAGATGATGTTTTTGTTTAAAAATGTGAAATCAGGTTATGTGGGCCATGGAGTATAATCCAAACATGTTTGCTCATTATGCTTCAAATGGTTCGAATGAAGTTGTTGTAACAACAAAATTAAGCAAGAAAATGCTGCAACAGTATGGAAAATATGAGAGAAAAAACGTGAAGAATGGACGCACAGATCAAAAAAGTCTTCTTGCTGTTTTCTTGGTTGCAGGTGTTCTAGAAACCAAAAACAAGAAACTCTTGAATGAGGCTAAGGGCCTAGATGATGTTGCTCAGGTTCTCTTTATATCATACAACTATTTGTTAGAATTTTGTGCCAAATAAAAAAAAAAAATACAACCATTTATGACTTTTATGATTCCAGATCATGGGTGATATAACGGGAAGCTTGGATGCTAAAAAAGCTTTGTCAGAAGCATTGAAAATTCACAAAAAGTATCTAAACAAGGCAAGCATCATATCCTTACACATATACACATATGCAGTTTCGGTTTATTTATTATGATTCTAATGCTGGCCCACTTATGGTTTCAGGCTAGAATTCCTGAAAGTTGAGAATTTCAAGGCAGCTAAGATATAGGTCGCGAATTTTAATTTTTGTATTTGTTGTGTGTGATTATTGATTTTTATATTTTTCCGTTAGAGATATATGTATTTTTTGTGCTAAGTTTTCCCAGGGTTAGCATAATTTAGCAGGACTGACATCACATGTACCCACGTGGTCTCATTGTGTTCGTGAGAGAATGTGTGTAATTTTATGTAATGTAAAGGAGATCGTGTATGTGTATGTGTATTTGTATGGATTGTATATTTGTATACTTAAGATGCAGCTCAAATGGATGAACGTGTCCATAACCCTCACCCCACAATCATAATTATTATTTTTCTAACATGATATGTTATATTAATGGGCTTTAACTTGGGTTGACCCATATGAAGTTCACACTTTACAGTTTACATGAATGATAAAAAAAGTTAACTTATCAAATAAGTTACAAACTGAGTGATTGGTCGGATTTAGAAAGAACACAACTTTCAATTCAATTAATAGGTTTAGGATTCTATAAATGCCAAATTAAAGAATAGAATCTAAAATGAAATTAAATATATACATTTATATGTGTTGTCATATTGTTATAATTAATTCTAACCTAACTTTTTAATTAAACGTGTTGAAATCCTATTAAATTTGGATTGGGTTTACGAGTAGGTTGACATGTTTGATCGATTTTGTTGGCTCTAGTTTCAATTAGTTGTGTAAGGTGCTGTTTGTTTTTCCAAAGCAAAAATGTCTAAAGTTTGCGGACCATCTCTGCAACCCTCTGTAGCAGAAGAGGTGGAACAAACGGCTGCAACATTTAAAAAAATATATGTTTGTTTTTTAACGTCTGTACACTGCTACAGTAAGTTAAAAGTAAGTCGTGAGGAAGTTTGAAGCAGTTGGTTTAGTACTGCGCCACGCAGCACACATGCAACAATTTTTAAGTCAGAAGTTTTCTGAAAAACAAACAGATGCGAAGGGTCAAGTGCTATGCGTGTGCTGCACGACACAGCAATAAGAGACCAAAAAAGGTTTTTTTGAAAAAAAAACCAACACCTAAGGAAAACTGAAAACTAAAAATTGAAATAGTGAGGAAAAAGAGGGGAGCACATTAAGTAAAATAAAAATGATACCCAAACAAGTTCATTTAATTTACGACCCCAACCAAAACCAAACAAGGAAAATATCTTTAATTGTGAAAGAATAAAAAAAAAATCGTTTTCAAAAATTAATAATGGATGCACTTGAAATTCGGATAGTTCTTCATTATTGTAAATTTCCAGTCTATTAAAAAAAACAAAAATTGTGTAAACTGTATTTGTGTAAGTGTCAAAAGAACTAAGTTATTTAATTTAAAGGGCGTGTAAGAGTAATAACTTAGGGGGTTAATTTGAAAATTTCTTTCTATGATCGGTTTCCGCGTGAAGCTTATAAAGTAAAATCGTTATTGACTGTCAACGAGACTTCAAAGAGCAAAAAGACAGCGTCTACTGTAGGCGAACTTGAAGCTAAACTATCTGCAAGGAAAAGGTTCATTGAATCTTCAGATCTCTGTACTTAATTTCTTTTCACAATGATGATCTATACGTTTGTATTTCTGTTGATTAATCAATTGTGCTCAGATCTACTTTGCATTCTACTGAAAATATTGAAATTGAGTTCCATGATAATATGAATCTAGGGTTTGTGGATCAGATTTCTTTCTCTACGTATATGTTTCTCTTGATTTATGCAAGTTTTGACTGATATTACATTTTCCAATTGTGCTCTAGATTGTCTGTGCTTTAGTTCTGCATGCGTTTTACCTCAATTCTGTAATTCGTATGGCTAAAATTAAACGTAAACCTTCTGATCTACCGAGTTAATGATTCGTTTGGTTATATAGCTTAATTTGAATGTAAATTCTCTGATCATCTGAGTTATTGAAGCATTTGGTCATACGGCTTTTATAAAATAAATGTGAATCGAATGATCCAAATTGTTGCACACTTTTTCAAGTAAGGATTAAAAAGTATCCTGATCTGTAACTGGTGGTTACTTGATTTTGATGGTGTGCATATCTTTGTTGCTGGTAGTAATTGCGGTTTTACAGTCTTCACATTGAGGTTTTGTGCTCTTAATAGCAACACACGGACTAATGACAATCTAGCCTTTTAGAGTTTTAATTAGGTTTGTGATATATCATATACATCAACTTCATTTGCTAGGATTTAGTTGACTATTTTATTCTTGTATTACTATCCTCTACTCGTGTGAATTATGTGGCTTTTCATAAACATTTAGTTAAAACTTGTGTGGTATAAGGATTATGCTTACACCTTTACATTTTTTGCTTTTCATCTCCAACTGTATCCAGTAAAAAGAAGCAAATTTTAGCATTTGATCTAACCTATATCAATTACTGTTGCAGTCATTTCAATTTTGAGAGATGGAAGGGACAGTATTTACTCCTGCTTTAGAAGGAATGAAACATGTCAAGTCTGAAGAAGGCGAAATGCTTTCTAAACCTTTCTTAGAAGTCTGCAAACAGATATTACCTGTTATTGGTAAGGTTTTGCTTTATAAGTAAGAACTACTGTGTCATGATGTTTTCTCCTTCATTCTAATTCTCTTATTCTCTGCTGCTAGACAATTTCGGAGCAGCTATGGCACTTGTCAAAACTGATGTTGGTGGTAACATAACAGTAAGTGTTGACCCTTTCCCTTACCCTTTATTTTGATTTATATATTAATATATTATTTTCCACTTATATGCATATTTGATTATTTGTTTCTCTTTCTCCAGAGGTTAGAGAACAAGTATCTATCCAACCCATCTGAATTTGAGAAACTATACAGTATGGTTCTGGTTGAGGTTGAAGCTAAGAAAGCAGATGGTTCATCTAGCTGCACCAATGGTCTATTGTGGCTAACTAGGTGAGTTTACGATTCTACCCTCACAGTTATATATTATCACAAAAAAATTAAAACCCCAAAATACCCTTCAGAGCAATGGACTTTATAGTAGCGTTATTCCGTAACTTGATGGAGCACAAGGATTGGAGCATGTCACAAGTTTGTTCAGAAGCCTACACTAAGACACTCAAGAAATACCATGGCTGGTTAGCCAGTTCAACTTTCACGGTATCCATTTATTTCTTTACATTATTTTAATTTAATAATAATAAATTAATATTATTATAATTTCTTATTCCAAAATGGATTTACAGGTTGCAATGAAGCTTGCTCCAGATAGGAAGAAGTTCATGGATGTTGTGGGTGGGAAAGGTGACATCCATTCTGATATTGAAAAATTTTGTTCAACTTTCACACCTCTTCTTGAAGAGAACCACAAGTTCTTGGTGAGATCATCTCGTTACAAAACTTAATTTTTTTTCTATAATTTGTTCCATGAAAATTATTATTTATTTTGTTTGATTTTAATTTTATTATGCAGGCTAGCGTTGGTCTGGATGATATGAAAGCAAAGTAATGACAGTTGACAGATAAAGTTGTTTTGTTCTCACTTGTTAAACCTCATTGAGGAAGAAACTATGATATGCTTTTATGAATGTGTACCATTTTCTCTTAAAGACTTATAATCAACATCTATATAAAACGTGTTTGTTTTGTTACTTGACATAAAATTGGTGCAACTATAGATGCACAGAGTACAAGCCAATGAGAATGATATTTATATTCTCTCTCTCTCTCTCTCTCTCAATTCTCAACCACCTCTCATTTACATCTAAATTTTGTCCACTAGTTTGAATTGGTATAAATTAATGTTAAGGTAATTTTTTATGCTTCATGCATGCATACGTCGTCCCAAGCTTCTTCCTATTTTCTTCTCATTGATTGTAATACCCAATTACATCTGTTTGTTTTGTTTTGTGGGTTCCCCAGGCACCCTGGTTGTTATATCTGAATCTATTATATTGGTATTGAGTTGGTTTTTGACATTTTATGGGGTCAGCTGACCCCATCCTGATAAAATTGAAGATCATAATTCCTCCAACGATGGGTAGTATGAAGGTGAAAGGGCTTCTTAAAGGCCTCAGATATATCTCTCAAGTTTTTGGTCAGTAGTCTGTTTTATAAATTATAAATTATAATAGGAATAGGAATAGGAATAGGATAATAAACCGAATTTGAAAATTTTGCAGAGGAAGACAAAAAACAAGAAATACAAATTGGTGGTCCCACAGATGTAAAGCATTTGGCTCATGTAGGATGTGATGGACCAGCACAAGAATCCCCCAGCTGGGTACGTATGTATGTAAATTGTAAATTGATAATATGTTTGGTCTAAATTAAGAACATATTTTATTGTTGTTGTTGTGGGTGCAGATGAAGGGGTATGGTACACCTGATCAATTCGCATCATCCGACCTAAGTGATGGCCCTGAATGGGTTTCTGAAGGTTATTTATCACCCATAATTCCTAATTCCCAATTCAATTCCTCAAATGTTACAAAATTAGCAGAGAGTTATTAAGGAGATTATTATTGTTTTTTTTACAGATTCAGGGCAAAAGGTGTCTCGAAGAGACAAGATAAAAGCAAGACATCGCCGGCATCGATCAGTGGAAAATATGAACTCGGAGAGCAAAGAGTCAACCAAAGCAAGGCAGCCCAGAAGACACCACACACGGGGTGCGGAAGGCCGACGTGCCCGGGATGAGGCATTGCCTGAAGTCCCAAAAAGGACCCGGAAAAAGAAACCAAAGGATGGGTCAGGTGATGAGGCATCAAATGTATCAAAGTCTAAAGCACCAGACGACATCACCGATCAAGAATAACAACATAACAAATTACCCAACTATGATGTATTTTGATGTTGGTTACTGGTATCTTAGATTTGTACAAAATTAATTAACTTCTGTATATTTTCTAATTTGGTCGTTTAATTTTCAAAATCACTTCTAAACAACTATATAATTAATATTGTGACAAACTATAATTACATTCTTGCCATTACAATTTTCAAGTCAGATATAACAAAAGGTGTTTGGTTTGGTTTGGTTTCTTTGTTAGCTAACATCAAAATCGTCTCTACCATAACAAGTTAACAGCCACCCAAACCAAAATCAATACCCAACAACATGTTCCATCTCCAACTCTACTTGAAGAGCTAATGCCATACCCATAGACAAGGGCAGATCTGGGATTTTCAACCTCGTTACATATCTTCACCTTGTAAAATGTATTAATTACGCCTTCATCCACACACAACTCTGAGTTCCCTTCTAACCTTAACTTCCCTCCGATTTTACCCATAAATCCTACAGAAAAGGGTACCTTCCCACTCAAATTGTTGTTATTCAAATTCAACTCGCATAACAACTCTAATTTTTCAAATTCCTTTGGGACTCCCCCTGTTAGCTTGTTGTTATCAAGACCCAAATAACTCAAATTTCCCAGAAATACCCCCATTGAAACTGGAATTCCCCCGACTAACCCTACTCTTGATAACCCAATTCCGTTAATACCCCGCAACTTCTCCCATATGTCGGGAATCACCCCTCCTAATTCATTCCCACTCAAGTACACTCCCTTTAGTTTACTCATTTCGGACAGAAACAAAGGCACCCCACCACCCACCAATCTGTTATCACTCAAATCCAAAAACTCCAAAACCCTTAAACCCTTCATCGTCTCCGGGATTTCACCGGAAAAATAATTGGAACTCAAATCGAGCTTCAACAGATTCTCTAATCCTCCTATTGTTCCCGGAACATTTCCGCTGAACCCATTCTGGCTGAGGTCAAGAACTTTAAGTTTCTTCAAATTTGATACATTTTCCGGAATTTCTCCGGTGAAACTGTTTCGTGAAAGTGTAGCTTCTTCTAGATTTGTTAACTCGCCAAACCCAACCGGGATTTTGCCGGAAACTTTTGTTCCGGTGATGATCAACCGGCGTAAGCTAGTCATGTTACCGATGTTGTCACTCAATGAACCAGAAAGGGTTGGGTTGTTGATGAATACAAGCTCTTCAAGACCCGAACCAACCCATGAGAGATCAGGTAAAGAAACGGGTTGTTGGGTGAAGCATTTGTAGAAGAAGAGTTTACGTAAGTGTGGAAAAGAAGAGAAGAGTAACGGGTCAAGTAGTGTGGAGCTTGGTGAGCAGGTCGGGTTGGAGTTGAAATCGGAAACGTACCCGAAACTAAGCTCGACGATGTTTAGGGTTCCGGTGACGCTGGCGTAGTCGCAAACGACCCCGTGTGGGGCGGAGGAGCAGAGGTCGTCAGGGAAGAGAGACCGCCATGGGACGTCAGAGTTGAGCGATTCAAGCACTCGGTACACTGATTCTTGCTCAACTGAGTTCAGCATGGGTTGTGAATTACCGATTGTAAAACATGCTACTACAAACATCAAGAAACTGAAAGCATATATTGAAAAAGAAAACGCCATTGAAAGCTGTGAAATTCTATGAGCACTGAAATGCATATGTTGTGTTTCTCTGTGTGAATTTATATGGGTATAATTTCTGTTGGACAGAATTGCAAAATGGTCTATGCTGTATTATTATTATTATTATTATTATTATTATTATTTTGGGTTCCTGACTTTTTTGGATTGGTAATGCTTTTGACTAATTTTCTGTAAAAAAATTGAAATGATTAAATTGCTCTTTAGATATATTTTTTCTATTTAATTTAATGTTTTATTAATAATAAAATGGTTATATATATATATATATATATATATATATATATATATATATATATATATATATATATATATATATATATATATATATATATATATATATATATGGAGTAAACTTTAAACAATAATTTGTCTAACTTATGTAAATTTTGTGTCTTCTTCTTGTACCCAATCACTACCTCCATTCGAGTCGTGACCCACCACTAGGGATGAACAGTTTGCCCCAAATCCTGATCCCGTAGCGGTACCGTACCGGAACCGGTATCGAACCGTACCAAATTTAAAAATATGGGACGGTACTTGGTACTCCAAATACATGAAATTCGGGAATCTGTACCACCGGTACCAATACTAGTACCGAAAACTGGTACCATTCTCGGTACCGGTACCGGTGATGTTAATTCGGTTCAGTACTCGGGATTGACTTTTGACCAAATTCGGTTTTCGGGAAATCGGGAACGGTACTGGTTCCGGTTCCGTCCCACGCTCATCCCTACCAACAACCACTGATACCCACCTTATACCTCTTTCTCTCTCTCTCTCTCTCTCTCTCTCTCTCTCTCGATTAAAAATCACCACCGAACATAATCCTTATTCCTCCCTACCCTCCCTCTCATCGAGCTCACCGGAAAAAAGAGAAAATGAAGCAGTAGAAGCTGTCGGAGTAGCTCCTGCCACCATCATCGCAGTTGCTGTTAACTACCGTCGTCGTCAGCTGTTGCGTCCGTCGGTCATCTCCGACCAGCCCCATCACCTCTTGCGACCCATGTATGTCCGATTTCCCCCCTTATTATTTTTGTTTTCCTTTTTGATCAATCAACAATCTTGGATTAGGAAGAACTGGTCTCTGATTTCGATTATACCTCCTTTGATGTTGTCTATTAGTGTTATTGTTGTTAGGCTACTTTGTGAGGACTCCATTTTGCCTTCATTATCTTTGCATAACCAAGATCTGATTCTGCCTTCGAATTCAAAGCTATAAGGGGTTTGTTGTTAAGAACCATAAGTTGGTTTGTGGAGTTAAAGTATTATCCATGAGTAGTACCTAATTTAAAATCTTGGATCTAATCAATTTGATCGAGGCCTTCATCTTTTGTGTTTTATGAACATAAGTAATGTTTTGGGGCTGTAATCATGTTCTTTGTTTGGAGAATATGAACTGGGAAATGGTTTCGTACAGGCAAGAGAGAGAGAGAGAGAGAGAGGTGGGTCATTTATTATTTTTTAAATGTTAAAATAATTAAATAAATAGTATTAGATTTTAAAATAATGAAAGAAAATGAAAAATAAATACCCCAAGGGTATTATAGTCATTTCAATTTTCACATGGACCATTTTCACATACAAACTAGTCCAAAAGGACCACTAATCCAAAAAAGTCAAGGTTTTGACTAAAAACCTTCAAAAAATTGCATACCATAGAGACTATTTTTGCAGTATTGTCTTTCTGTTGTTGCTAATAAGACACCAACATTCTATTGATACTTTTTAACCAATAATTAACCGCTTATAATCAGTTTTTTCGGAAAATAATGCAATTTCAGCGAATAAAAATACTTACAAAATTAATTATGATGTCTATATTATAATATGGGGGTGTCTTTTTAGCCAACCCTTAATTTTTTCAGAACCCATCTATTTTCCAAATAAAAACTATATTGTAGACTATTTTCGATGAGGCCACTTTTTTAAAAAATATATTTTTTAATATATATATTTTTTCTATTCTAAAATTGATTGAAGACTAATTATCATTAGGCAATTATAACATGGCGGTGATTAATGTTAGACTATTTTTCAAGGTTCTAAATAACGTGAGACGTGACTTTGCGGTAATGTCATGCTTCAAGTTTTTCTAAGTTATGTTGAACCACATCGTTTGTAAGACATGATTTAAGGCAACAATTTTATATATAATTAATATTTTTATACATATATATGAGTTAACGCGATATTTTGGCGAAGTTTGATGGCAGGTACAAGCTTTGAAGCCATTACAAATTTTTTAGAACCTTGCTATTTTTCATTGGTTAATGCATGTATTTTTTTTTTGCCGTTTTCTTGTTTTTTATTATTTTTTTTGGAAACGGAAAAGTTATTAATAAAAAGAGGACCTAAGTCAAGAAAGGAACTAGACGTGACCGAAAAAACACAAGATTACAAAGTGTACGTTTACACATAACCAAACCTAAAAGGGCAACACACTCACTCCGACCAACAACATGTATTGTGTTTTCTCATGTACTTATGCCAAGAATATATTAGTGATACTACATCATCAACTACCTTGGTGGAAGATTATGGGATCCTGTTGTGCTCTTTATCATTCCTCGCTTTCCAGATTCGCCAAAAGAGATTGTAGAAAATAGCTATTAACTACTTTTGATTCTAGGACAATTCCCCCAACACACAGCAAAGTTAATCAGTTCCCCAACACTTGTGAATTGCCTTATAGGAATATCACACCATTTTAAGATCCAATCTAGTGTGGTTACAACAACCGATTAGAACGTGATCTATTGTTTCCACCCTTTTATCGCATATATGACAACTGTTGGAAGGAATTTGGATCCTTCTTCTTAACAACACACCAGCCACCGAGATTATGCTAGCCACCGCCCTCCAAACAAAACATGAGACTTTCAATGTAACTAATTTATCCCATTGAACCTTTCGCCTCCTGTTGCTGTCAATTTCGAATCCACCACTTTTCTAACCGCTTCTACCGTGAACACATCATCGTTACTAAGGATACATCTGACGTCCTGACTTGCAAGAAATTATAACTACGCTTAATGGAACCAAGCATTGATAACTCATATACAACTTCAGTGGAGGTGGGAGCCGATTTCCAAGCCCAACAGAAGCATTCCCCGGGTTTTCTTTCACAAACAAAACATGATTTGCACGATTTGAGGGAATAAAGTGTCAGGAACTGGTCCTGAAGTGGAATGGAGTATATCAATTTATCCTTCCATAACAGTGTGCAATTTCCAAAATTGGTGTGAATTTGGAATACGTCCTCAAATGATATTCCAAGACTAGACGTAAACTCAAAAATATTGGATATGTTTTGCCACACTCCTGATAATGTTTTCTTCGCCAAAAATTCCCTTGATTTTCTCACAATATTATATAGTCTCGTTATTACCTTGCACCATAAATATTTTTTTTGTTCGAATACGCCACCCCCATTTCGTAATTAGTGTGATGTTTTGAGACTTAAGGGAACCTACCCCTATACCATCATCTTTTTTTGAAGCAAGCACCTTGTCCCACGAGACCCAGTGGTTTTTTTTTTCTTATCTCCTGTCATGCCA